GGGTTAGGGTTAGGGTTAGGGTTAGGGTTAGGGTTAGGGTTAGGGTTAGGGTTAGGGTTAGGGTTATCGTATATATCGTATAAAATCGTATATATAATATCGTACCAAAAGCAACGGTAGTTATTATTCGCCGATAGATGGCGCTGGCATCACTACCGTGAGTTGAAGAGAAAAAAATTCGGCGACGGTACCGTCGCAGGAGCAACAGCCTAATAGTATAGCTCCAGGAAACGGTATTGCTAGGGTTAGAATACGTATTGACGTAACGTTGACGTACGGTGTATTGACGTTAGTCACACAGCCTGGTCGGGTTAGTAATAGTATAGCTCTAGTACTATAGCCCGCGGATCGCTGCCGCAGGCAGATCGTAGGCAGATATAAGCAGATCGCAGGCAGATCATAGATCGTCCCTGCCTCTTCGGCAGCGATCCGCGGGCTATAGCCTATAGTACTAGAGCTACCCAGTGCCAGTCACATGCAGGCACAGGCACAGGCACTTGAAGCGTTTCAATCAAATATAATGCTAACTAAATACGAAATCTATTTACTACCAAATTCTTAATGTTTCTATACTCTCTTTCACCTATTATTGCCGACAGTTTCCTGTAAATTCCGTCCAAATCCTACATCCAACCTTACGCTGCCGGCACAATTGCTTTCGCGGCGCGACTGTTGCACGCTTACACTAATATATATAGTACTAATTATAGTAGTATACGAGTTGAGTTGCATTTCTAGAATTCTACATGCATGTAGACACATGTCTTAGCTCTACTCTCTGTGAGTTTCGAGTTTATTGACGCACGATTATTCTAATTAATTAGCGATTATTCACTCGCGGTAATGCCCATAACCTTATACAGGCCCTGCTATGGCCAGTAAGAAAGTGCAGTTACTATCACTAGAGAGTGACATGGGATGGTAGGACCTTGGCTTCAAACAGTAGAGAGTGATATTGGATGGTAGGACCCTGGCTTCAATCAGTAGATAGTGATATAGGATGATAAGATCATAGATCCGCCTCCTTTTCCTCCTCCTCCTCCTCTCCTCCTCTCCTCTCCTCCACCTTCTCTACCTCCTCTCCTCCCCTTCCTCCACCTCCGTCCGTCCGTCCGTCAACATTTGACTACGGTCAACGATAACTCAGGAACCGTTTGACCCACATGTTTGAAATTGGGTATAGTTGTTACTGCTATGCTCCCATATTAAACGTCCTATTTTGGAGCACGCCAGTCAACGTACTTTTGAGCCACAGCAATTTTTTTGCCAAAAATGGGAATTGCCATTAGTCAGTTCAGGTTCAACGGATTTTGCTCATTTTTGGTATGTGAATGAATAAGGGCTAGGGGTTTTGATATTTAAAAAAAAATTATGCAAATTAGGTAGGGTTTGGCAATTATATAACATATTATATAGACACAAACAGTATGTGGTGTCACACTCGTCTGGTTCGTTTTACAAGGTTTCATTGACAACTATCTTAATGCAAAATTCCTGCTATGAACATATTTATGATTTATACTATTAATTATATATTTATTATTTTTATGATATAATGATTTATGCGCTAAGAAAATCAAAGCGGTATAGCGCCATCTACCGTCAGAATTGTGATTCATTTTGTTTATAAATTATTTATAATTTATATATAATATTATTTATTATTTTCACATTAAAAATTACACATAATTATCAAGAGTTATAATGGGAGTTCTCCCCATATATTACTCTTCGTTTCTATAATGTACGTCGATGTTGCTCAATTAAAACTGACTTTCTTCTCACTCACTCATTTGTGTCCTTTTTTGTGTGAGCTACAGTGTCTGTCATTGACACGTTTCATTTTTATTGAGACGTTCCAGCGTCCTGTGGTGCCAGTTCGGCAGCGCGCAACCGTGGTAGGGCCTGCAACCTGCTGGGATACGGCGACCGATTCACAGAGGGCGCCGCCGCGGCGCAGAAAAGCGGCGGCGACTCGTCGGAGGCGGACTACGGCATGTTCGTCGACACGGCGGCGGGCGGGAACGGTCGTCGTCGTTACACCGCGCCCACTGCCGTCGACGGCTGGGGAGCACCCGTCGCCGCCGGCGCCCACTGGGGGGCGCCGGAGGGCGGGCGAGCGCCGAGCATCGAGTACTGGCAGGGCGTGCCGGGCGAGAAGGCGGTCGGTGGCGCCCCCACGCCGGCGGCCTGGCCGACGAACAAACAGGGGATCGGGATGTGGGACAATGCGACGGGCGCGCAGACGCCGGCGCCCCCGCGTGACGGTGGAGGGAATGCGGAGCAGCGGGAGGAGGAGAGAGGAGGAGGAGGAGGGTTTCCCGGACAGATGCAGGACAGCAGGAGGTGAGGAGGCGAGGCAGGCAGGCTCGCGTGTATATACATGTACATATATAGTAACTCATACACATACATGTACATCAGGAGTTAATAAAGACAAAGGAGTTTGACACGTATTTGGTACTGATTTCACTACATTTTGTCTTACGAGTTTGACGTGAATAAAAATACAAATGTATACAAACATGAGCTTCTTTTTGTTCACTGGTCCTTATTCTATCTTCCGGTAGTATTACAAACCGTGTAGCTTTCTTCATTTTGACATTAATCGTACTTTTGCACGACATGGTTTTCACGTTATTTACCGTCGTGTGGCGTAGCCAAGCAGTAAATTTGCATGCACAGCAACTGGAAGGAGGCACTGCAGGGTTTTTAGGCCGTAGTCTAGAGCCGAGTGCAGAAAATGCGCTTAGAAATTAAGTTACTTTGCACCCATGCTGGGTTTAAAAATTAAAACTATTTTAAATTCAAACTATAGTTAGAATGCCTTGTTTTTATGGTTGAATCCTGCAGTTTTTTTAAATAAACGCTGCACTGGTAAAATATCTGAACTACTTCACCCGCGGAGGAATGATGTGTATGAATCTTAGCGAGTAAATTGACGCTCCAGCTGATTGTAGCTTTCCGCACGTGTTTTGCATAGCAACCGTTACTATGCAATTGCAGGCAAACGCATGTGTTTACACCTTACTTATCATGACCATCTGTATGTGATAAAGGCGAGGTCATTACTCGGTCGAGGTCATTACCGTCGTCATCACTCGGCTTTGTTAGCCGAACAAAAACTTCTTCGCGTTGTCCATGCTGTAGATGTAATTCTTGTTCTTGCACATTTGCTTTCACGCTTGACTCTAGTTCGGCCACATCAATCGCATTAACTTTGTCCTTTGCTTCACCTATCTCTAGTGCCGTTAACGGTCTTGTAGCAATACACCGTTTGCGCCTGCGGTCGATCCTACGTTCGGATGTTTTTGAAGAATTTCTACGTGCATGAACTTTGCCATTTTTGAACTGCGAGCTACGAGAAAATTTCTCGCGAGATAACGTACGGGAGACTCAATCCCTGTCGCGCCTCCTTCCAGTTGCTGTGTATGAGAATTTACCGCTTGGCTACGCCACACGGTACGACAAAATGTAGTGAAATCGGTACCAAATACGTGTCAAACTCCTTTGTCTTTATTAATTACCTCCTGATGTACGTGTATGTGTATATATATAGATGTATATAATTATACACATACACATATACATGTACATATACCAGGGAAATAATGACTTTTTTTTTACGGGAGCGCTTTTTCAAGTCTGTGGAAAAAATAGCTCACATCAAAAATTTTACGGGAGCTATTTTGAGCCTCATGGGAGCGATTTCAGAGGTTTGAAGAGCAAATCGCTCATCGCTCCAGTGTATTTTTTACCCTGATATATACACATACACGTACATGTACATATACACCTACACATACATGTACATATACACATACACATACAATTACAAATACATGTATATGTATACACATACACATAGTGACATACAATTACAAATACATGTACATAATATACATATACATACATGTACATATACACATACACGTACATGTACATATAGACATACACATGCATGTACATATACACATACACATATACATGTACATGTACATATACACCTACACATACACATACATGTACATATACACATACACGTACATGTACATATAGACATACACATGTGCATGTACATAATTATATACATACATGTACATGTACATATATACGTACACGTACACATACATTTACACATACACATACACTTACATGTACACGTACACAACACATACATGTACACATACACATACACGTACACGTACATACACATAGTCATCTACAGATACACATACATGTAAATATACACGTACGACACGTAGACATATGATATGACGTCCCTCTTGTGTATGTGTACATGTACACGTGCACTAACAATCAGACATGCACACATACACGTACATGTACATGTACAAATACACGTACATGTACGTGTACACATACACATACAGTGCACATACACGTACACCTACACGTACACGTACATGTGCACATACACGTACACATACACGTACACATACACGTACAAATACACATACAGTGCACATACATGTACACATACACGTACACATACACGTACACATACGCGTACATATACATGTACATAGTCATATACACATACATATACATATACATATACATATACAGATACATATACATAGTCATATACACATATACATTATACATATACCATACGTACTTACATATTTAATTATATCTCTCGTGTTTGTACACGCGTGATATTCTGTGTGGTGCCCTCTCGTGACTGCTAAACTCACTTACGAGTTTCTCCTCTCTCTCCCCCTCCGCAGGGCCATTCCTGGCAAGAACGCCAACTCGCGCTACGGCCCCGCCTTCACAGGCGACCCCTCGCAGAGAGGTCACGGAGTCGGGGTCGTTGCCGGGGGCGATGAGAGGTCGGCTGTTGCCGCGCTCGCCGTGTCGCTGAGGGAGAAGGAGGAGGAGCTGGGACGCGCGCGCGCACGCGCCGAGACATTGCACCGGGAGCTGCACCGCATGCGCCACGAGATGAGCCAGACGGACTTCCTCACAAAGGTAGGGGGAGCCACTGGGGGGCGTTGGACGGGGCGCGAACGTTCCGGCTGTGGTAGGAACTTTCCAGTTGAGGTGGGAACATTCGGAAATCGAACAAGATTAAAGGGATAGTAGACTAGGATTTTACTTCATACAACTGTACTTACTGTATAACAAATCGTCTATACCCACACGTATTTGTTAATAGATACCTAATTTAATTGTTATAATTATTTACACATCAACGCTATGAAATTTGAACGGCGCCATGACACCCGCGATCGTGCTGCCACCCTGAAAAAGTTGCGTATTTGACAATTTATTTTGCACGTTACAGACCGAGGGCTAATCACAAAAGTGCAATTATAGCACGGCGCGATACCTAAGACTATATTAACTGAACATAATTATTTAGGGCAAATTTATCCAATAATTACTGAAACCTATATGATCGTTAGAAGATATTAAAACAGAACCTTTTGCCATTTAATAAATAAATAAAAATGACCTCTCGTCTGTACCCCTTGGCGAACAAAGTTTTGGTTTGCCAACCTCATACAGATCAGTTGTAGCGCTTGATGCGCATTCGCGTCTTGTATAATCTAAACTGTAAGCGTAGTTTATAAATGTAAATTAAAAATATTCTATGGTGATATGATGTACGCATGAAACTTATTATTAGCCGTAATTTAACCTAAATAACTGAAATTATACCCTAGAACCTAGATAAACGATCCCGTTGTAAGATGCGGAAGCGTTCATTAGTAGCAACTAAATCGAGGATTGCAAATCGAATTTGTCTTTCGTTGTACCTGTCAATTTAAATTTTTGAGTAAAAATTGGGAACATTGACGATGTGTGCAACCGGAGCAAAGCAGCATACCGCAACACAACGTTTTTCTGTTGTTGTTTGTTTTACAGTTTGTTTCCCGAGGCCGTTCGGCAGCTCTCCGTACTCGACGAGCAAGTGAGGATAGCGCGCGCACCATGGCGTCTGCAGATTTCCCCACATTAGCATGCGCGCCAGTCGGATTGCAGAATGGATAAGTCGGAGACTGGCGTTGTGGATCAGGGTCGACGTCGCGCGTTCCAGCCGACTGAGATGGTAAGACGTTTATCGGGACTGGTTCCTTACGTCGGCGTGAAGGTGCTTGTCACAGACCTATTCAGGAACTGCACTCTCCATACAGCCTTCGTCAGAGAACGGTAGGAAGAGGAGAGAGAGGTGGAGGATGAGACGAAGAGAGGGGGGAGGAAGAGAGAGAGAATAAAAAAAAAAGAGAGATAGAGAAATAGGGGGGAGAGAGCAATAGAAGAGAGCGAGGAAGAGAAAGGGAGAGAAGAAGAGAAAATAGGAAGAGAGAAGAGATAGAGGAGAAGAAAGGGAGTGAAGAGAGAGAGAGAGAGGAGAGAGCAAGAGAGAGAGAAAGAGGAGAGAGAGAGAGAGTAGATAGAAAGAGAGAGTTAAGCAGAGAGACAAAGAATAAGCGAGAAAGTAATAGAACGAGAGCGAAGGCAAGAGAGAGAGAGAGACACGCAAGATGCGATCGTACCTAACTAACTAGCCTACGTCTCGTCTCGCCCCCCGTCTCAGGACGAGGTCCAGCGACTCACCTCGTACCGCGACGCCGCGCGTCTCGACTACCATGCCGCGCTCCGTTTCTTCGTTGACGACGTCGCTCGCCTGCCACTCGACCGTCGCCACGGCGACCTGCGGGAGGCTGCGTCGCTGCTGGAGACGACCCACGCTCGGCACCTCGACGGCGAGACGGTGATCCAGGAGGCGCTACCGGTCGCGCTCGATGCGTACGCGTGGTGGAAGGTACGACGGCGTGCGCGTGCGAAAGGAACGTCCGACGTTTTTTTTAGAAATGAGTTTTTTACATACCGAGGGAGCGTTCTGTTAGTCAGTCACTGACTTAGTGTTCTATTGTAAGTCACTGAGTGTGTTCTGTTGTAACTCACTGAGTCTTTGTTCTATTGTAAGTCACTCACTTGACTTAGCGTTTTGCTAAAGCCTAGCGCAGACTTGCCACTTTTTCATGCAACTCGGCTGCGATTCCAGAATCGCAGTCGAAATGTGAAATCGCTATGTCTGCGGTAACGTGCAACTGCAACTCGTAGCGATTCTGGTCGCTTGCAACGAGTTGCAAGAAATCAAACTGTTTTGATTTTTGATTTTGACTCGTCGCCCCCAATCGCTCCCAAATTGTTCTAAAATTGCTTCGAAATCGCATGTGTGCGCACACACGGCGACACATCGACCGATTGCTTGCGGTTGCAGGTTGCAGCGATGAGCAACCAAAAATCGCAGGTCTGCGCTGGGCTTCGATTCGATTCGATACGATTCGTATGTCCGTTACAGGCGTGCAAGGTGACCGAAGTTAGAACTGCTAGAGCAGCGTTGATCGCACCCTACGCACAACTCCAGGGGGCGCTGGAAACAGTACAGACGGTACGTGTGTAGATTGGATGTCAGCGCTATGCTGGTCACTCTTTTTCATTTCTCTATTTTCCCAGTTTTTTCAAAGTCGGATCGCATGATGAAATTCTCTATGATAAATTCGCATGATAATCACAATAATGCGCATGGGTGTTTGCTAGTGAAATTCAAGAGGTAAAGTCAATGAAAACGATAAAATCAATCAATCAATTAATCAAACACTTAATCAATCGGTCTACGATGAGATCGAGTGTTGTCGCGGCAACGGTGCGTGAGCCACGTATCGTTCGAACAAGCACGTCACATGTCGGTTTTCCTCGCAGTGCCTGTCGCCAGGGGGCGCCACCATGGAGGGCTGCGAGATGCCCGCCGACCTTCACGTGATGCTGGGAAACTACGGCGTCGCTCTGCAGACGGAGATCGAGAAAGCAGACGTGGTGAGTTGACGACGCAGATGTCGTCCTGATTACAGGTGCGCTCTCATTTGTGAATGCTGCAGGTATGTTCTCATTAGCTATAGGTGCCACAGGTGCATTCTCGTTACCTGTAAATGCTACAGGTGTGTTCTCGTTAAGTGTAGATGCTACAGGTTCGTTGTTGGTTGCAGGTTCACGTTACCTGTAAATGCCGCAGGTATATTCTCGTTACCTGTAAATGCTACAGGTGTGTTCTCGTTAAGTGTAGATGCTACAGGTGCATTGTCGCTTGCAGGTGAACGGGGCGGGCGGCTCGATCGTGGCTTCTCTCTCCGCGCTGCTCCACCGCGAGCTGATGACGGAGATCGCGTCGATCGAGAAGCTGCGCACGCTGAGCGGCGAGTGTGCAGACGTCGCCGACTCCCTGAAGGTAACCACGGCAACCGCGCGGCGCATTACGTAACGTCGCTCGCCCGCCGTATTGGTCGGGTAAGGGTCCCGTTGTTCGGAAGGGGGTTAACAGGGATGTTGGCGACTTGACAATTGGATGCTCTGTTGTTTTCTCTCGTCGCAGCTTAATAATTCGATGCTCTTTATGTATTCGTCTTGTTGCAACTTGGTTATACAATGCTCTATTTTCTTCTCGTGTCGCGGCTCAAGTAATTCTTAATTCATTCCTCCTCTTGTCCTTTTTCTTCCTTATCAGTCTCTATTCTTTGTCTATGCAGCTGGATTTATCGATGTTCTATTCCTTGATTTACGATCCTCATGTTCCTTTTTCGTCTCGTTAGCTTATTTTTATCTTCTTAATCGTCGTCATCGTCGTCGATTATTTGATGCTCTATTTTTAGCTCATCTGACGTAGTCAGATGCAGCTTGTAGAATTGCATGATTGTCCGTGCGTTCGGCCGTGCGTGCGTGCGTGCGTGCGTGTGGTCATACAGTTGGGGCACAAATCTTACAAAGCTCCAACGTGCGCACCGATATTGGGACGTTGCGGGGATCGTGAAAAGGACTAGGGATGACAAATTTTGGGGAAGTCAAGGGTCAAGAGGTCAAGGGATGTGATAACGGAGGGGGAATATTTTCGCCCCTTAACATTAAGGTAAGAGGAAAATAGCGGAATTGCGGCAACAAATCTTAAACGGCTCGAGCCTAAATGCTCTTAATATCGGATGTATAGTGTGATGGGCAGGAAACCTATCACCAGTTCGAAATTGGAAGGTCACACGGTCAAAGGGG